TGCCCTAGAGGCCCTCAGCAGAGGGGGCTGAGGCTGCCTGCCCCACCCTCACCCAGGGCCACGCTGCCCCATGCAGTATGTTGGCCTCCAGGGGAAGAGCCCAGAGCCCTGGCAGCCCACCTGGACCCCTGGAGAGAAAGGGCCCCAGCCAGTCCTTCTTGGCCTCGCTAACAGAAAGCACGGCCCCACCTGACCTGCCTGGGACCAGATGCCGCGTCCAGGGCAGAAGGCCTGGCAGGAGCAGAGGGTGTCTTGCCAGGTACTATCGTATAGGGCACAAACTGCAGCCTCGCTCAGTGCCAACTAAACCAGCCAAGTCCCCACTCCCACCTGGACAGGCCACGCTGGGAGTAGGAGTCCACCCGTCTGTCTTGCTGCTTCATGTAAACCACGCTGGCACCCCCTCTCCCATGCCCCTTGGTTTCCTGGGGGTGCACAGCAACCCAGATTAGCACTTTCAAATATGAACTTCCCTGCAGCTCCCAGGAGACTGGGTCAAAGCACTTTTCCTGCTTGGATGCTACAGATGGCTTTTGGAGAGAAGGGGATGAGGATACTGCCTGTCCTGGGGGCAGGACAAAGCCTAGCCAGACTCACCCCCAATTCCCCTGCCCCTAGGGGATTCAGACTGGGTTTTAGCATGACTGACTTCCCAGACCCCTTTACCACTGAGATCTCTAGATCAGTCAAAACAGTGGGTTGGGATGAACGGGGGAGGAGGGGGCATTCAAGGGCTGTGTGGCTGATCCAGGCAGGGGGGAGGTGTCTGCACAGCTGCAGGCAGCCCCCTACCCCGCTCGTGAACGGGCACATCACCCCCTCCTGCCTGCCTGCCGCTGCTCCTGAAACAGTTGGTCCTAATGAAGGCGAAGCAGGCAGGGCAGCTGTGTGCTTTATCCATATGCATGGGGGGTGTATATTTATCCTCATGTCCCACCCCACCCTGCAGCTGCTGCCACCCCTATGCTAGGAGGGTGAGTGGGCACCAGCACCCAGCTTCCCCCTCCAGGCCTCCACTCATTCCAACCCTCCCTCCCCAGCCCACTCCCACAGCCTTCACTTGACCCATTTTGGAAGCAGAAGTTTGTGTGTGTTAGAGAGAGAGAGAGAAAGAGTGTGCACACATCATTTCCCCAGTTGGTGCTTTTGATTTCCTCTGAAGCATCTTGATTGCACACGTACAATGGCATCTTGCTGCCAGTGCTCCCTCAGCAGCTTCTGGCTCTGTGCCTCCTCCTCCCTGGGGCTGGGGTTTCTGCTGACTCTGGGACCCATGGCCGGCTGGCAGGGAAGGAGAAGGCCAGATCTGGGCTTCCACCCCTTGGCGTGAGCAGCGGGGACCTGGAGGCCTAGCTGGCCACCGTCCTTGCTGCTCCTCGGGTGGGGCCCGCTAGCACCCCCCTTCCATCTGCGCCTCCTAGCTGGCTGCTGCCTTGTTGCCTCTGCCTGGCCGCTAGCCCCCCTAGTGCTCAGTCATTTTGCTGAAACATGATTTTCTACTCAGAGGCCTCCAGCGCCCAGCTGCAATGGGACAGTGGAGGCCAAACTGTTCATCGTGTCATTCTGGACCCCTCTGGTCTGACTCGAAACCTCGCTATAGACCTATTGGCTGTGGCTCCTCACACACACCCTGTGCTCCACACGATCCACTGTACGGCCTCTCACCTAACCCCCAAATTTTATTTCCCCATCAAGTCTTCCTCCCTGGGGTGCCTGGACCCTCTCTTCTGCTATTCTTACCCCTCCTTCAGAGCATGATGCAGGTCATCCTTCCACAGAAGACGGCCCAGTCTCCACAGGGCCCCTTGTGAAACTCCTGGCCCTGACAGCTTAGATCCTTGACAATCATTCTTCACTCATTGAGCAGTAACAAAGTACAAAAATGCTTCCTGTCCCCGTGCTGCTGCCCCAACTGCCTCCCTGACCCCACCACTCACTGGTCTGCCCTTTACTCACTTTTTTCATCTGTACCCACCCCTTGAAACAAGTCGTTTGCCTCCTTCATGCATGTTCTCTCTGCCTGGAACACTTGCTCCAGACTTTGCCTCCTCACATTCTTTAAGATTTATTTTATTTATTTATACACAGACAAACTGGAGTCTGTGTTGTGGGGGAGGGTGAGAGACAGAGTAGGGAGCAGAACAGGCAGATCTACTGAAATATGCTGCTGAGGGGAAGCAGCGGGTAAGTCAGGAGAGGTCTGCTGCCCCCTGTGGGTCAGCTCCCTGGCCGGGGACCTAACTCTCGCAGCAGTCGCCCGCTATAGCTTGACAGCACTGAAACTAACCCCTGTGTCACCAGAGGCGCCCCCTCCTCACATTCTTGAGATCACTGCTCATTGTCACCTTCTAGTAAAGCAGTCCTGGGCTACCGCCCTATGATAAAATTGCCATACTCTCTCACCTCACTGGCATGTCCCTACCCACCTACCCTGATTCATTTTCCTTTCTGGTACTTATCACCAACTCACATTTATCGATTTATTGTTTTCATCTGTCTCGTCACCACTAACTCATCAGCAACAAGAGGACAGACTTTCTCTTGTTCATCTAAGTCTTCCCAACAATGAAACAGTCACTGGCATTAGAAGGACCTCAGTAACCATTTGTTGAGTAAGTGAATGAGTGAATGAATGAAACAGGCTAGATCTGAAAAAAATCAGAGATGACTAATATTCATATCCTCAGGGACTCACAGGCTACATTAGACATGTAAATTACATGGCTTATAGCCTGACTTATGAAGAACAAGTAGGTGGAATTTCAATGACAGCACTAAATACATGGGTGGGCATGTGGTTGACCCAATGGAACAGAAACATGTGACAGCAATCAGGGTCCCAGAGTGGACTATGCCAGCATCAGACCTGCCTCACACCACCCAATACTCTTCACATACCCGCTGGAGAGGATAGGGGGCTTGCACAGAGAAAGAGAGACTCTAAGGGTAGGTAGACAATCCAGACAGAGGGCTCAGCAAGAACAAAGCCACATGGGCAGCTGGAGATTAACTCTAAGCATATGATTTGATGGGTGGAGCTCAGGGACTGCAACTGCAGCTGGTGGGGATACCATTTGGTGCGGCTTAAAAGTTCCTATCTGTTAGGCAGTGAGCTGCTCATTTATGTCCATTCCCCATCCCTGCTCAGTGCCCTCCAGCAGGCACACACATGGAAAGTGTCTGGTGAAAACATCCAACTAACAGCCAGGTACCTGGACATTGATATGTCAAAGAACTCACTGCCATATTTTCCAGGTAGACCAGAAGTCCACATCATTTTCTAACACTCAGTTCTTGGAAATCTGCTTTCTGTAAGCTGTTGAAAACTATACTTACCCTCCCAACACACACATCAACCTCTTCTAGCCACCATGTAAGTAATAAAAAATAATTCATGGCACAGAGCAGACAGATTTTCTTTCAAAAAAGACCCAGTTATGAAGATCTATTGTAGACGAGAGAGAAATCATAAATAGCTCAGTTTTCCACAGTTGAGAGGAATTAACCACATAGCATTAAAGAAAATTGGGTGCCTGCAGAGGAAACATTCAGACCTGGGGAGAACTCTGGGTTAAGTCCATTGCCAGGTCCATTAACACCAGGACAGGGCATTTCGGGGAAATGCTGGGCTCCACAGGCCTCTCTCACTCAGGGTATGACTCTTACACAACTGGAGGCCAGGAGAGGCCAGAGACCTACCCTTCAGATTGCTAATTGTTATGTATAAGGACTACCACTGTGAAGAGGTATCTGAGGTTGAACATTGTCACTGGAAAAATTCAAGCAGAAATGGAATGCCTCTTGCCCTAGAAGGAAGAAATATTTGAGGGAATAGGTGAAAAGGATCAAATGTTGGGAGAAGAAAAAAAGAATCTGAAGGGAAAAACTAATGTTCTTAGGGCCAGGACCCTCCTGATCCAGGCCTATAACACCACTCCAGGAGCCTCCCTGGTCTGTCCCAATCCCCTCAGCTTTCTGGAATCTTAGTCCTGAATTCCAGGCTTTGGCCCCAGCACCTCCCCCCTCCAAAAAAAGAAAAAGAAAAAAGAAAGAAAAGAGACACCTAAGAGTATTCTAAGTTTCATTCCTTGTCCCTTTAAGTTAAAGAAACAGGACTCAGAGGGTTCTAGAACCAATACCAGGATCCCGAGTTCTACAGATCACTGTTTCCAAACACCTCCAAGGAAGAATTTTTCAAAACTATATCTATTTTAGCCCTCTCTTTATAAGGGGGGCTAAAATAAGGGGAGTCTACTCAGAGACATCCAGGAATCATTTTCTACCTTCCTTCACACCGGAGTCCCTACTTCTTTTTTTTAAAGACTTATTTATTTATGCATACAAGAACTGAGGTGTAGACCGGAGGGGGAGGGGGAGGACTCACTGGAGCAGAGTGGGGAGCAGAAGGGGCGCATCTACTGAATACACTGCGAGGGGGCAGCGGGTGAGACAGGAGAGGCTCCAAACCCTTCTTGGGCGACCTAGCTCACTAAGCTGGGGAAGGCCTGTCCAAGACCCCCACTCCTCCCCACTCACAGGATGCGGTGGGGTAAGAATCTCCCCGGGGGTGGACTAGTCCTGAAAGTGTTAAGGGGCTCCCCCACCCTCAGATGGGAGAAAATGAAGGTGTCTAAGGAAAGGGCATGGTGATGATGACAGATCTGAGTGGGTGGGTGTGAACAGGACCCAGAACTCCTAAGTGAGGGTAGAATGTTGGGGGTCTCAGTGCCCAGAAGGGGCCTAGCGCTGAGCCGGCAGGGCCTCAGTTCAGGGTGTTCCTGGCTGAACCACCGCCTTCCCGTTCCCAGGGGGCCCTTTGAAGCCGGAGAGGGCTTTGATGTAGGGTCCACGGCTCTCCGCTGGGCCGCCCAGATGCGGTGTGGGCCGGCGGGCGGGGAGCCCACCCCTCGGGTGCCCGCACCACCCCTCCAGGGCACGGGGACTGCTTCCGGCTGTTGGGGGGGGGGCGCCCGACCCGCCACCCCCTTTCCCTTCCCCCTCCGAGTCTTGCAGCTGTTCCCCAGCTGCCCGGCCCCACCCGAAAGACAGCTGGGAGAGTGGCTGGGGCCGGGAACGGGGCACAGCTGTTCCGCTCTGGGGCGGGGACCTCGAGGGCAGCGACTTGAAAGAGTGTGGCCGGTGGGGGTGATGGGTTGAGGAGCCCCCCCCCCCAGCACCGCGGTTGTCTCCTCCCGGGCTCCGCACATCTGGGTCACAGGAGCCGCCGCCCCAGTTGGTGGGGCAGGGGAGAGCCGACCCGGACACCCAGAACTTCCCGGAAAGGGGGCAGGAGGGCGGGCAGCGCCTGGGGTGCGCATGCCGGTATCTGAGTCGTCAGAGGGAGGAGGTGCAGGGTATGCAGGGAGGTGTCTGAGTGTGCACATCGCAGCAGGGGGGCTGTCCTAGGGTGGCTCGGGTCCTCCTGACCCTTTTGGGAGGTGGGTGACAGCTGCTCCTACAAAGCCAGGGATAGCTGGGTTACTGGGGGTAGCTGGATGGGGTTAGCATCTTCCTGTTCACCCCCCACCCTAACCCAGCTCTGAGCTGCACCCCAGGCCATACTCTGGCAGCCGGTTGCTTTGCCAATGGTCTGTACCCTGGAGCATGTGACTGTCTGGGGGAGGCTTTTCGGGGCTGAGACCTGGCAAGGTTCAAGTCCACCCCACCCCACCAGTCTCCACATCCCAGTCTAATGGCTATACCTGGGGCAAGGACTCCTCCATCAATTAAAATAAAACCAGGCCAAGTGGGAAAGAATTGGGCAGTTTTTGGTGTTGACTCCTAACTTTTGGCAGTTGTTGCAGGGTTCCTGACAACCAGAGAAAGGGACAGTGAGACAGGAGCAGATGTGAGTAGTTAAGTGTCTGTTTGTCCACCAGCACCTGCCCCCAGGCATCCTTCCACCCTGGGCTGGAAGGGCACTAGGCTTTAGCCATCTGCCCCCTCTCTTAGGCCCCAAACAGGTGCAGGGAAACAGAGGGGAGCAGACCAGCTGTTGTCACGCAGCCTCTGGCTCTGGCTCTATTCAGAGGGGGAGGGGAGTAGTGGGGCGAGGGTCCCTGCAGGCGCAGGGCATGGGCACACAGTCATTTTCTACTCCCACAGGACAGGAGGAGAGAGGCACTTAGCAGGACCTAGATTCTGTATCTTGGTTTGGCCAACTGAAACAGCAGGAGACATGGCCTTACCACTTCCAAATCTGGGTCGTTATTTTTCTGAGGTGACTCAGGATGGGTGAACCCTGGACCCCTGGCACAGGACTTACCCTCAGTTCCCTGTCTTCCTGTTTCCTGCGTGGGGAGGCATTCAGGTCCTGGTTCTACACAATCAAGTGAGAAATAGGCTCCCAGCAGATGTCCCTCCTGCTAGTGCAGAAGGGCATGGGCCACTTCACGACATGAGCAGATGCACCTGAGATATCAGACAACAAACCTGACGCCCCTCCAACAGAGAACTTTAGGGGTACCCCAGCCCCCCTTCTACCCCAGGAATCCGCAACGAGGATCCCAGCCAGGCCATTTCTCAAACCCTGATGTATATAAATCATTAGGGAATTAAAAATACAGATTCCCAGGCCACGGTGACTTCCCCAGTCTAAGGGGGGGGGGGGGAGACTCAAGAATCTGCAAACATGCTAGAAATTTTGAGAAACTTCCCAAAGAGGCGACATAGGATGTTTTTTTCATTGTGCTACCTACTCCTGCCTGTTCCTTTTCCACTGTCCAAGCAGGGGTGGGCCAGACCCCTAACCACTGAAGCGTGGCATTGAGGGAACCCCTGTGGGGGCTGAGGCCCACTTAGACTATATCCCAAGAGGATAGGGTTGGCCTCTGTGTCCTCGCCCAGTGCCTGCCACTTAGCAGGTGCTTAATAAATATTTGCGGACCGAAGGAAGTAAACTTAGCAAGGCTCATGGAAAGGTATTTTTTTTTCTTTGTCTGTCCTCACTAAGAGCATGTTGGCAGAACCTCAAAGAGATGCCAGGGCCCATGCAGCTGGGGGCTGGGCCTGGGAGGCCCTCAGCAAATATTTGTCATTTGAAGCCAAGGCTGAGAGGAGACGTAGTTAGTGCCTGACAAATTGACATTCACAGGCCTGACACAAGCTAGACCCAGGACAGAATGAGGGTAAGGAAAGCCCTAGAGGGCCCCCCAGGCCTGGGGGGGTTTGGGGCTGAGAGGCGAGGCAGGGAGTGGGACTGCGCCATTATATTTATTAGAAGGTTGGATTTCGGTGTGTGCTCTAGACAGATTACAGAATAAATACCTGCGCCTTGAGAACAGGAAGTTCACGATTCATACAAAGTGCTCACTACAGGAAGTTGCTGTGTCAAAATCCAGGCAAGGACCCAAATGGGGCCAGCCCCCTCCCCTGCTGACCTCAACAAGGGCTGTGCTGTTTTTTATTTTATTATTTCTCTTTATTTCTCTTTATTATTATTAATATTATTATTATTTGCTTTTGCTGTGGTCACTATCATTGGCAAAGTTCCTTTTCCCCTTCCCTGGACATGGGGTTCCTGTCTTTAAGATTCCACTCTGAGGCTGTAGGTGCCAAAAGCTGCTTGAGAAGTGGCCTTTGAACTCCATCTGGGAGGATGGTGAGAAGAAGCAGGAGGAAGTCTTGGTTTAAAAAAAATCGAAGAAAAAAAAGTCCCACAATGTACAGGTCATTCCTTACTCAGTCATCGATCAAACTGGCCCAAAGAAAACCAAGAGGAGAAGCAGGCCAATGGGCCCTGGTCCCTCCTCCCAGGCTGAGCGAGGTGGGCTGGACACTCCCTGCCCCTTCTCCCCACGACTTTAGGGGAAGCTAAGGCTCCTTCCAGCCAGGGGGACAGGATGGGGAGGAGTGGGAGAAAAAAAAGGAGAGAGAGAGGGAGGGAGGAGAGAGAGAGAGAGAGAGGAAGAGGGGGAGAGAGAGAGAGAGAGAGAGAGAGAGCTCAGCGCCTTGAGGTAGACGCTTTTCCCAACTCCAGGGCCACCTGCGGCCCCAGCCCAGCCAGCTCCCACTGTCACCTCCTCGTCCAGGAGTCATAAAAAAAGAAATCAAAACAAAGCCCCAAACAAAACAAAATCCAAAGGAAAAGACTTGGGGAATGAAGGAGAAGGGAGAGAGGACAGGAAGGAAGAAGGGCAGGTCTCTGGATGCATAATTCCCGAGTTGCTGGGGCTGGGGGGTAACATTGCCCAGTACCCCGCTGCCCGCGCGGCGTTAGCTCGTCACGTAGTGTTTGGTGGACGGCTGCCCATACACCCTGTAGAAATCCTGGTGGCCAGGTTGCTGGGAGGCATCGAGCCAGTCTCTGACCGCCAGGCCAGGCAGGGACTGGGGCACGGAGGGTGTGGGTGGGAGTGGGTGTGAGTACTCTTGTGAGGGCACTGTCCAGGGGAAGTGGCCGGAGCGGGGGTAGGGCTGGTGGCCGCCATGGTTGGCCACGGAAGAACAGTAACAGTTGTCCACAGAACAGACGAGAATCTTGCGGCCGCCATATTGCGGAAGCATGGGCTGTTGGGCAGCAGAGCCATTGGGGTACTGCGACGGGGGGAACACAGGGCTTGAGTGCACTGGTTGGGCGCCGCCCGGCAGGGCCACCAAGTGCTGCGTGGAGCTGCAGGGCCCCAGAGGCTGCCCTGACTGGCCCTCGCCGCTGGCCGTGCCTGCTGCCCCATACTGGCTGCCCACCGGGCCGGATGACGTCTCTAGGAAACTGGCCTCAGGGAAGGCCGTTGAGTGCTTGCGCTTCTCCGCCCCCGAGCTGCTCACGCCACAGGGATACAGGGGAACGCTCTGCAGGAAGGGCACCGGCGTGCTGAAGGGGCCTGCGGAGAGTTGGGGCAAAAGTCGCCGAAGCTCCCGTCCCAGGCAACCCAGGCCTCTGCTCCCAGGGGGCCTTTCCCATTTACAGGACCAAGCATCATGCATCATCTCTGTCCGTGCTCCCTGCTCCACAGGCCATTGTTACTCCATCTTACAGCTGAAGCACGGAGGCCCGTGGAGTTAATAGCGCTAGCCCAAAGCTCCGTAACTAGAGGTGGCAGAGCCAGGGTGCGAAGGAAGGTCTCCACGGCTGGGCCACACTGCCTCCCGTAGAGAAGGCTCTGGCACTCACCCCTCCCCAGAGAACTCTCCCTTCCACTGAGAACCTCACCCTCACCTTCTAGCATCTTCCGAAGTTGCTTCTCCTTCTTGGCCACCTCGTTCAGGAAGAGCTTGGAGTTCAGATGGCCGATCTTAGGGGGAGAAAGGCTGCTGCCCGTGCAGGTCTGGGTCCTGGGGGCAGTGGACGGGGCATCTGCTGTGAGGAGGTATCACCGGTGAGCCCGCCCTACCTCCCCCCGAGGGCCTGGCCCACCCTGCTCTCCCCCAGATAACCAGACGTGTTCCCCTGAGGGCTGGGGGTCATCTGCTCACCTGTCCATTAGGATTTTCACAGACTTGGTGTTCTGTGGGGGAAAGGAAAGGGTTAATCACCTGGCAAGGCAGCATGGGTGAGAAGCAGCTGGGAGCTGCACCAGCTCCAAGCAGGGCTGACCCTCTAATTTTGGCCAGTGAGTTGGTAAAGGGGTGAAGGATAGTTAGCGTTGAGGGGGTCTACCTGGTGGTGCAAGGGTCAAAGTCTCAGAATTATTTAGCTATCACCAGCCACTGCGGTATGAGTTCAATCCCCAGCCAGGGAGCTGACCCACATGGCGCACAGACCTCTCCTGTCTCTCCCGCTGCTCCCCTCAGCAGTGTACTTGGTCTGTCTGTCTGTTCTGCTCCCCACTCTGTCTCTGGTGAATCCTCTCGCTGCCCCTGCACCTCTGACCCAGTTCTGTATGCGTAAATTAATAAATCTTTTTTAAAAAAGTTCCCCTTATTTTGGGGGTGGGGAGGGCAACATAAAGCTCCCTTTCTCCTAACCATGCCCGGGGTCAGATTCTACTTGGTGTTAGCTTATCTTTTTAACATCTCTTTCATACCTAGTCTCCTGCACAAAGAGAAAGCTGGCCTCAGGCTTAGAATTTTCTGTGACAGGCCATTGTATTAAACTAGAATCTAATAATATTGCCCCATTACTACTATGTTTATTTCTATAATTACCTTTAAATAGTTACAAGTGATACTGGTTTCTATATATGGCAGTGATCTAACTTTAAAAATATATAGCTAACATTTATTAAGTACTATATGACACATACCATTCATAAGTGTTTTCTATATATTCATCATCTTACCCACACAATTATCCTCAGAGGAAGGTTCTCAGAGGCACCCAGTCTTTTATTTGAAATCTTTGGGGCCAAATGCATTTCAGAATTTATTTTGGGGTTTCAGAAGGGAAATATGGTGCTTGTACCATATATTACAGATACACATAATATTCTGGGTATATTACATATACCCAGAAGGACACCATAATCTAATATATCAATGTTTTGCCAGCAAAATATTTGAATATTTGTAGCGTGTGAGGTCAAGATCATAAATAAGGGGCCTCCCTGATGGTCCAGGGGTTAAAGAAGACACAGTGCTATCAAACTATCTACAGCCACTGCAGCAGGTATTTGACCCCGGTCAGGGAGGTGGCCCACATGGCGTGGCAGACCTCTCCTGACCCACCCTCTGCTCCCCTCAGCAGTGTATTTCAGTAGATCTGCCTATTCTACTTCCCACTCTGTGTCTGGTGAATCCTCTCACTTCCCACACCTCTGGCCTGTGCCCCAGTTCTTGTATGCATAAATAAATAAATCTTTTTTGAAAAAAAATCATAAAATGCAAGTCAACTTTTGTTGTTATATGATTGCTAATTTTTTTCTTCAGCTTGTAGAGATTTTTAAAAGCTAGAATTATAGATAAAGGCCAGCAGACTTATACCTCCATTTTATAAGTAAGGAAACTAAGGTGCAGGAATTATACATGACTTGCCTAGATCGCAGGGAGGAAGGCTTTGAAATCATGTAGGCCGGTAAAGCCTGGGCATAGGAGCATACTGGTGGGAGCTGGTTGGGGAAGCAGAGAATTACAGACGCTAATTTGGGAATGGCCTCCGGGTCCCCCAGCTGGAGTCAGGCCTAACCCACCTTCATGAAGCTGACATCCTCCGTCTTGTCAAAGAGCAGCTGCAGGGAGCCCAGCAGCTTTTTGGCCTCTTGCATACGCTCCCCAAGGTGCAGCGCCTGCGCTGCATTCTCGCTGCAGAACTTGGCTTGGGCCTTGTCCAAGACCTCCACCGTCTGCCGCAGGTCCTCATCCAGCAGCTGGTGCAGCTTCTCATACTGCAGCCGCACTTCCTCCTTCAGCTGGCTCACCTTCTCCTGTGGACATGGTGGGCAAGAGTGGGTGGGCAGCGAACACTGGTCATCTCTGGCTGCCATTCCCACCTGTCTCACATTCCAGACGGTGGAGCCTGGGGCCCCAAATCTCCAGGCTGCCCAGGGCTCCCAGGGTAAGCTCTGACCCGTGGGGGCTCATCACTGACAGCTCATTGAATGACTGACCAAGGGACTCTGGTGTAGAGTCGACCCAGCAGTGGACACTCAGAAGGGAACCAACCCTGCACCCATGCTGCCCCCAGTCCATATTGTGGGCTTGGGCTTAGCTACCTCTACCAGGCGCTTGTCTGACTCGAGTTTGTACAGCTGGTCCTCAATGTCCTGCTCTCTCTCCTCCAGCCGGTCCTGTTGCTTCATCAGCATCTTCTGTAGGAACAGTTGGGACAGGATCATTAGAGGGGTCTGCAGCAATCCCTGTTACCGAGGATGGGTGAGCCCCATTCTTTTGTTAGCATGGACTCATCCTTTGGATCCTCTGACCCAGATAACCTCCTATTTCTTCCACTCAATCCACTGTGACCCCCATGCAATGCTAAGAGCCTGCTGACAGCTGTCTGACCAGCCTGTTTCCAGACACAGAGAGCCTGGAATAGCCTCCCACACATATCTAAACCAAGAGCTTTCTGAAGGCCGGGTCAGGACAGTCTCTCTAAGCATCTTTCCTGTATAGATGTATTTAATCATTCCAGTGATGCTGTAAGTACTATTATTATCCTTTCAGATAAGAGGAAACCAAGGCCCAGAGAGGTTAAGTAATTCATCCAAAATAACTAGCATATGGCAGAGCTGGGATATCAACCCAGGTGATCTGGCTAGTAGGGGTCTTTTTATCCAATCATGCTACCTCTCTCTGGTGAGCCTCATCCCAGTGATGAGTACCCTAAGATACAAGGTCACACAACCCTCTGACCCAGTCCAGTGATCTCACCCCAATTTGCCTTATACTTGGGGCATTAAACCAAGCACCCCTTCCCTTGTTCTGGACACTGAGACTACAGCTCTAAGGTCCTAGCGAGCGCCCTCTGCCCCTCAGTTGGAAGGAGATCTAAGTGAAGGACCCTACCTTTTCTAAGACCAGTCTGTGTGGTCCCAAGGCTTCCTCAGCCTTTAACCTCCTGTCTGTAACCCCCTCTCCACCCAGCCCTGACCATCTCCCCTGCTCCATCATGCCATCCGCCCCCCACTGGACATACCTCTTCAGAAAGGGTTTCTCCCCTGCACTAGAACCATCAGTGACTCCCTCTTTCCAAAGACATTGGCGTGGCAAGGGAGGCTCTCTTATTACCTGAATCTCCCAGCCAGGTGGGCTGGTATCCTAGCCTGAACTCCTTGGACCCTATCGATGCTTTTCTACAGCTCACAGTGATTCCTCCCTTCCTTTGTCTGCCCTTCAAGGCCCAACGTCAGGCCCTGCTCCTGTAGGAAAATGCCCACGATCCCGGCTCGGAGTCTGGGTGGGTCCCTCCTGTACTGCTCAGGTGTGGGCTGTCACATCCTGCCTGCCTCTGTAGCTGCACTGTCCAACAGGGTGGCCATTAGTTACATGTGGTTATAAAAGTAAATTAAATGAAACGTCACCTCTTCGGCTGCAAGAGCCTTGTTTAAGTTCCCAATAGCCAGATGTGGCTAGTGACTAATGCACTGGACACCACAGACATAAAGTCACCATCATCACAGAAAGGTCTCTGGCACAACACTGCTCTGCAGTCTGCCTCATAGACCCGGTCTGAGAGCCCCACAAAACTCAAGGTCTCTTGAAAACAGGACTCTGCTGCTGCCTTTCTCCACCTCCCTTCTTAGGCAGCCCCACCGCCCACAAAGGTACCCTGCAGATGCACACATGTTCACTAAGTAAATACACGGGTTTTGCACACAGAAGAAGGTTTGCAAAATAGATTGCCCAGAGCCTAGCTCCCAGGCCATGTCCACTCACCAAGGAGAGGTTCTTTTTCTTCCTGTATGTGCCTCAGAGTGACCTTCAAGTTTGACCCCATGAGCTCCATGCCTACCCACACCCAGCTGGTTCCCCAAAACCAAGTGCCACCAATCCTTTCCTCTCTCCCCCAACCCATTTACACAGGGGGAAACCAAGGTCAGCAAGAGAGTTCAGCCAGATCCCATGAGAACTGGTGGCTACCCTGGAAACAAAAGCCAGGATCCTGGGAGCAGAAGAGAGTTGGGGCTGGGGCTCTCAGAATCTGTGCTAGGAAAGGCTGGGGTGCCCCTCCAGACCTTGACCTTTCAGTGACCCAGGACCTCTAAAACCTAACCCAGGAGACCTTGCCCTACCAGCAGGCCCCACCTGCAGCCAGCAAACACAGCACACATCAGCCAGAGGGTCAGAATCTGAAAAGCAGCAGCTGAGTGGGGGCCGGTGGAGGTAGTCACGTGTCCTCCCACCTGTGGAGCTGCCCACAGGTGTGTGGGCACAGCACACACATGCAACGGAGCACATATGAGCACACAGCGCTACCCAGGCTCTGTGCACCCCCATCAAGGCACAGGTACCTGAGCCCAGAAACCTGCACCCGGAGGCTGACAGCCCTAGGGAACGGAGGGGGCTACCCCAAGGGGAGGAGGGCAGGACGCCTCTCCAGGAACTCTAGGCCTTCTCACCACCCCTGTAACAATGGCTCCTCAAATTCTTGCCTGCTGCTTGCCTCATACCCACATTCAGGAGGGTAGAGCCCGCCTAGATGCACCTCAGACACCAGTGCCCAGCATGTCTGAAAACAGAGGCCCCAGGCCCTCTCACACATCTACGCCCCTCTGGCCTCCCTGCCCAACTACCAACTGCCAAGCCCATGAGGCTCAGACAATGGTGGCTGGGGCAGCCCCAGGTTCCCACCCCAATTTTCCTGAGGGAGGGAATGGAGCCACTCCACTCAAACCCTCCAGACCAGAACCCCCAGTACCCCTTCAGGGCCAATCCTCAGGGCAGAACCAAGGGAGGTACTTTTGCCCAGTCAGTGGGGCTCAGTCCCTTCCTTCTTTCAGGGTTTTCTCCAGGCAGCAATCTCCCTGGAACCTGCAGTTCTTTCTTTAGTTTCAGAGTCTCAGGGCCCAGCCCCAGCCTGCCCAGAGCCCTCTGGGTGGGAGCCCAGTGCAGGCAGTGGCCACGCTCTCTAGCAGGTAGACAGGTTTGTTTCTCCTCCCCTAGCCTGGAGATCACCCAGGGTGGCCTCTACTGCAGTGGGAGAGGTGACCTGGAATGGAAAAGAAACTGGCCAAGAAATCCAGAGAAAACTAGGAAGAGGCCCCACACTGGCCAGATCATCCTTGCAGGGACTGCCTCCCCGAGGGCAGGTGACCTAAATCCCACCAGACACCACTTGGGGAGGCGGAGGAGTGGGAAGGGCCATTGCTCCCTCAGGCACCGGGAAACTAGGGGGAGTAGGGGGGGACCTGTTGTTGCCTCTTCATTATCCCTCACCTTGATTTCACAAAAATAATTAATCATGATGCTGAGAAGCTGGAAAATGGGCCTAGACCCTTCCCTATGACCAGCAGTTTCTCCTCCATCCCAACCTCCAGCAACCACTGAGAGCTGAGGCTCCATTTCCCACTAGGGAAAATCCACAGCTGAGATAGAACCAGATCTCCCAGTTTAAATCAGAGCAGGGGCTCTCAGATCCGGCGGTGGGTGGGGTGGCGGCTGCCGCTGCCACTCCAGCCCACACTGAGTCACCTGGACTACGCTCACCTCCAGTGCCCAAGCAGCGTGGACTGGGGCAGCGGGGCCTCCGCTGGGGCAGCTGAGGAGCCAGGTGAAGCCCCACCCCGCCCAGCAGCCCTGGGCGCAGGTGGCATTTGCTCGCTCCTGTCCTTGTCTGTCCCTTAGGACCTAGGGCTGTCATGGCTGGCTCTTGGGCCTGTGAGGACAAGAGCATCAAGACTGGGGCACACTATTCCCACACCTCTATCCAGAATATCCTGCTCCTCATACCTGGCCCCTAATATTACGGACTCTGTCTTGGGCTGCTTCCTCTGGGGCCCCTCCCAACTTGGAGAGGGGGCCTTCCTGCTCCCCCTGGAAAGTCTCACTTCTCTCTGGAGTCTCACAGTCCAGGCCTAGCTGGCACTTTTTTTTTTAAAGATTTATTTATTTATTCATATGGAACTGGGGTACAGGCCAGAGATGTGGAGGGTGAGAGGATTCACCAGAGACAGAGTGGGGAGCAGAACAGGCAGAGCGACGAAGTACACTGCTGAGGGGAGCAGCGGACGGGTCAGGAGAGGTCTGCCTCGCCATGTGGAGCTCCTCCAGGGCAGGCGGGATTCGAACTCATGAGGTACTGGCTTTAGCTTTTTAGTGCTGTGCTTTAACCCACTGAGCCACCAGGGAGGGCCTAGCTGGCACTTTTTGATGCCAGACTGGACTGGGCAAATGGGTGAGGCCATGGGGACATGGGTTATATGAAAGTTAATAAATAATAATAAAAAACCCTCAAGTCAACTTTGAAGAGAAGCAAGGTCCGAAGGGAACAGGGCCCCAGGGCTGGGCTGGAGACAGGTCTACAGTTTTCAGACAAGACCAGGGCTGGGTCCGGCAGCCCCTGCGGCGGGGTGGGGAGAGCCCAGGCCAAGGGAGCTGGGCTGCTGGAGCCCCTGTTCCTGCTCGGGTCCCTGCCCAGATGACTCTCATGCCAGCTTCAGCTCTGGCTGCAGGCCCTGCTCAGGCCTACCCCATCTTAACCTCCTCCCCCAGCTGCTAAACTCCCCCCAGCTGCTAAACTCATCCCCACCCCCAATCTGAGACCTTATCCCGGGAGCACAATGGCCTCCTCTCTTCTGGGTCACAGGGCTCTTCTCTGGTCTCAGGGCAGTTTCTGCCTGCCTTAGACCCTCCTTTTCCATGCATCAACCCCTGCCTTGAGCAACCATTTGGACCCCCCCAATGGACAACACAGACCCAGAGAGAGGAGGCTGCAAAGTAGGAACCAGGGCAAGGAGAAAGGCAGGGCCTGCGAGGCGAGCCCCAGCAGACCCAGAGAGGGTTTCCCAGCTGCAGAGTGGAATTAGCTTTTGCCACGCAGAGAGCAGCGCTCTGGGGCAGCAGAACAAAGAGGCGAGCGAGAAAGCCCCCCTTTGTCTGGGTTTGAATGCCAGGCCAGTCGGAAGGAAGGCTTTCCCAGAGGCAGGACAAGCCAGCCAGGCTGCCTGCTTAGCCCAGGGCAGGGGCCCAAGTGGGGAGCCCTTCCCCTTACACCCACCCAGACTGTCCCCAGCACAGAGGGGCAGGAGCCATCCAGGTTTCTACCTCCAATACCTGTCATTACAACAAACTCGCCCTAAGGTGAATTCCACCTCCCCTGCCCCTCCCCAACACACCACCAGGTGAGAAAGTCACACAAAATGCACAGCCACCAACCAAGCAGAGCCTGAGCAGGCAGGCACACTCAGGCACGGGCATGTGTGTGCTCACTGCAACTCCAGGCGCCTTGCGACGGGCGCGTGCACACGCCCTCCTTTCTCCCGCACACATGCGCATGTCTTCCTGCCCCAGCCACACAAGACAGCTACATAAATCAGTCAGTGCTCACACTGTACCTCCTCAGACATAGGCTGTGATACACAAAATCAGCCGTAGGTGAGCTCCACAGCGAGGCATGCCGGTTACTTACACACACTCACACCTGCACAGGCAGCTCCAAGCTGCAGGAGGCTGAGAAATCAATGGGGGGGGGGGTGCATGGCAGACTCCTGGCTATGTCAGCAGGATCCCAGGGTGGGGCTGAGGAGAGCTTGACCTCTGCCTCGTGCCCAGGGAGCAGGGCCGAGTCACCCTCTTCGCAGACCCCCATGGCCAAGGATGTGGCAGCTACAGGACCCCCACAGCTGACAAACACCAGGCCTCCCCACCTAGCTCTCATCCTGCCTAGGGCCTCAGGAGCACAGGGCAGGAGGCGGGAGAGGGTATCTGCCCTACCAGAGTCAGCTGGGCCAGGAGCCTCACTCCTTGCTAGGAAACAGACACACAGGAGGGAGACCTCCGATCCCCTCCAGCATCCCAATGCAACCTCCCAGCCAGGGGCAATGTGAGCAGGGTAACCTCGCCCCCTGCAGATACACTCACAAACTGTCCCTAGCGGTGGGGTCCCCTCCTCAGAGAATGTCTTTGCAACTCTGAACCTCTGAGAATGCAAGGGCCCAAGGAATGGCATGGGGGCCCAAATGTGACAGCACCTGAACCCCCCCACACACCCCTTTCCATGTTGAGGGAGGTCATGAGCTAGGGGATGCTCCCATCTCCTATCAGTCCCTCATTGTTCAGCTGACCCCTGAACCTGAGGCCTGGGTGAGCACTTGACCATGGTCAAGTGCCTAAGACTGCCAGACCTGGATGTTCCGGTTTCGGGCCCTTTGGCTCCACAGACCCCAGTGTTGCTGGCTCCACATTAGGGTCCAGGCATGTTCCCGGGGCCCACCCAGTGTTCACCCAAGCCATTGCACCCTACATTGAATTCCCCAGGCAGAGGGATGATTCTGGGATGATCCCTCCAGGTGTCTGCCTTCCTGCCTGGACCCCCAAGGCCATCTGTAGATGCTTGTGAGCATATGAGTAAGGAGAATTAATCAGGGCTTCCTACTTCTAACCCACAGGGCATTTCAGCAGCAGCCCTCTTCCCTGAGGACAGAACTGGAAGCACAAAAACAGCTATATTTTAAGGCAGCTGCCAGGTCTCCATGCTCGGCTCCTACATCTGGGAAAAGAGGCCCAGGAAAAGGCCCCTCCTCCTGGCTGGCCCGGACAGGAGAGAGGACAGAGGGTTCTTCCTTTCAGGTTCCCCATGGCTTGGCTTCTTCCCCAGGGAGGGGCCCTTCTTCCTCCACTTTCAGTTATTCCAACCACACTGAGTGACACTGGGCTACTTAAGGTTTCCAACTCCAGTGCCCTGGGGCGCCCAGAGAGATCCAGAGGGTCCTGATGGCGGAGGAGTATGGAGGGGTGAGAGTCAGGCTGTGGGGCACAGATGCTGAGTGCACAGAATTGCACATCTGGCCCTGATGCAACCCATTACTCTCGAGCCTGCCCATCAGGAACAGGGATGAAAGAACATGGTCGTGTGCTCGTGCGTGTACGCGTGTCCACACACACCCACCCACACACACCGGTTTGCATGCAGAGATGCTGACAAAGTTCAGCATCTGTTTCCACAGGGTTCCTTCCATGAGCAAGGGGATGAGGGACCTGCAGGTGAGAACGCCAAGGTGAATACTCTATGACGTGCCGCCCACACAGATCTGCCAGCGATACAGACAGGACACAGGTGCATTTGAGGGCAAGGTAGACAGTCTCAAAGACACTAACAAACAGGCACACATGTGAAAATACTCTCCTACTACCAAGTCAGGCACAATTATGTTTTCTCCCCCACCCAAAGCAGACACCCCTAGCACTTAGACAGAGCTAAGAGCAAAATTGGACACACATACTCAATGCCCTGGCTCAATTCCTTTCAACCACAATCACATCTCTCTGGACCACCCAACCATCCCCCCACCCCCTTCCCCAGGGTAGAAAACTGGACAGTCTTCCTTTCTCCTGCCTCTGCACTTTTCCCAACCTCCTCCCCCAGCTCTTCCATCTTTATTAATAGCAACAGCTTCCAGTACCAGGGGAAGTATGGGCTCTGCTTGCCCTGAGTGGCGGGGTGAAAGACACCAAGGGCTAATCTGTATCCCCTAGGCCTCTGCTTTTTGCACCCTAGTGGGGGGAGAATGAAATGGCTCCCCTCTCCACCCCCCCTACTTCCTTTAAGAAACCAGAGGGGCTGTCCTGGCACAAAACCCCACAGCTAGCCCATATGATTGAAAACTAATTGTATAGCAAATGTTATTTGATCTCTCTGCCCTCAATCTGTGGTGGCCCTTCTGCCTTTTGTTAGTTCTATGTGTATGTTTTTTAATTGCTAAACAGTGACTCATTCTGACTGGTCTCATCCCCATTCCTCCCCCCACACCCCCCCCCCACAGGAAACAGACTCTGTCTACAACCTGCCTGGCTCAGAGCTTCCTCATACGCAGCTCCCCACTGGCCTCAACTAGCCTCCAGGGGCCCCCACCCATGAACACTCCCAGTCCTACCAAAGCCCAACCTCACCCCCATATCACACCCAGCCCCCAAGCTGGGGCTTCCGAGATGGCTCAGTCAGTCTCAGGCCAACCCCTTCCTTTTGGTATGACTCAACCCTGAAAGTCAGGGGACCAGGGAGGCACCCAGGAGGAGCCCCCCTCTACAGAAGGGGACGGAAGTATTGCCTCAGTCTAGAGCCAGGCCCAGAGGCCTGAGGGGGAAGGTGGTTTTGACTTGGCCACTGCTGCAGGGTGTATACAATGGGAGGGGATGCGGTTCTGCCATCACCCAGCCGACAGCCCAGGGGAGCCAGCTGCCTGAAACCAGATTGCAAGGCGCCTCAACCTTAAACCCACAGGATTCTTTTTCCATCTTCCACTTCTCCTCCCCAATGTGGGAGGGCTGTGATAGAGGGCTGGGCTGAGAGAAGAGGGCTCAGGGTGAGGAAGACACATACTTTAAGGTTTATTCATGCAGATGCATGCAACGCGCACACAGTGAGGGCAGCACTTCTCACACACGGAGAGGGGCTATCCAGAATAACTCTGACGGCCAGACACTGTCCGCTCCTGCTGCAGGATGTCCACCCAGATACCGGGAGTTCTGCTCTCCCTCCGGAAGCGCCCCTTCACCCCCCTCCATGTGTTTCCAATAGGGCTTGAAACTAACATGGCTGCTTTTGTTTACTTCCTCATTGGTATGCCAGCATCATGGATCATGTCAGCCACAGCAGCGGCACCAGGACACTCATTACATAAACAGCAGCTGGAGAAGCAGGACCTGGGTCACTGCCTTGGTGACTTCCCATAGGGCCTACAGAAACAACGCTGGGGGAAGGAGCTGACTGCAAAACAGAAAAGCAACACCAAACTCTACCCCAAACATCCCCACACCTCAGTTCCATAAATGACTCACAAGATGGAACCTATGAGCACAGGTGCAGGAATGTATCAGTAGCAACAGGGAACCATCTCAGACCTCGGCCCCAAACTTTCAGAGCACAAGAGTGTGGGTAGAAGGCGGCCTCTGGCCTGATGTCAAGAAGCATCAGCCTGGCAGATGAATGGTC